CCCACTCCAGTACTCTTGCCTGGAAAATCCCATGGACGGAGGAGCCTGGTAGGCTGCAGTCCATGGGGTCGGGTCGCAAAGAGTCGGACAAGACTGAGCGACTTCACTTTCACATTTTACTTTCACCCATTGGAGAAGGAAATGGCAACCCACTCCAGTGTTCTTGCCTGGAGAATCCCAGGGACGGGGGAGCCTGGTGGGCTGCGGTCTATGGGGTCGCACAGAGTTGGACACGACTGAAGCGACTTAGCAGCAGCAACACAGTCAAAGGCTGTGGCATAGTCAATAAAGCAGAAATGGATGTTTTTCTGGAGCTCTCTTGCTTTTTTTGATGATCCAGCGGATGTTGACAATTTGATCTCTGGTTCCCCTGCCTTTTCTAAAACCAGCTTGACCATCTGGAAGTTCATGGTTCATGTATTGTTGAATTTAGTCTTATTACTCACAAAATGTATTTTTATATTTTAACATACCTTTATAACACCCACCACAAACAAAGTTAATTCACCATACTGCACAAATATGAAAACATATATCTACCCCTGAAGAAACATTAACACATGGAAACAAAAGATCATCAATGTGCCACTGAGATAAAGCACTGGATTCTTCTTTTATTTCAATAATATATAGTGGGCTTATATATATATAAGCTTCCCTGGTGACTAAGATGTTAAAGAATCTGCTGGCAATGCAGGAGACATGGGTTCAATCCCTGGGTCAGGAAGATCCACTGCAGAAGGGAATGGCTACCCACTCTTGTATTGTTGCCTGGAGAATTCCATGGACAAAGGAGCCTGGCGGGCTATGGTCCATGGGATAGCAGAGTTGGACAAGACAGAGTGAGTCTAGTTTTTCTATTTCAATAGTATACAGTGAAACTTTTATATAATTAAAGATATGTTCAGTCACTCAGTTGTATCCGACTCTACAACCCCAGGGGCTGTAGCCCACCAGGTTCCTCCGTACATGGAATTTTCCAGGCAAGAATACTGGACTGGTTTGCCGTTACCTTCTACATAGTAAAGATATACATAAAGATAATTTTTTAAAATTTCACCATGAATTTCAAGTTTAAAATTCTTTATAACCATTCATTTATATCAGCCACTAATCTCCTTTCAAACTTACTCTTCTCAAAATCCTTTATTTTTATCCCCAATATAAGGTTAAGCCTCTTCTACCTTTGCCTAAAGCCCAGATAAGACATATTTATGAAGAGTAAAAAGACTGGAAAATAATATAAGCTTAGTCCTTTTTATACTGTTTAAGCCTTATCCTTCTACTAAATTTCATCACCAGAAATGCTCAATTTTATAATTTCATGGTAAAGTCTTTTGCTTTTTTCCTTTTTTATGAAACTGCCTGAAAGAAAAGATCTAATATATTGTTCAGTGGCCTTTATGTTAAACCTTTGTGACAAATACCTCTTGGAAATGAGGATCAGTGGAGCCTCTTTGGTGAATTGTAAAGTGCGCTTCTAGGCTGTGAGTGCTATCTAGCCCACTCTAGATTTTCGAGTTCTCTTGGCCATGCCAAGCGCTGTGCAAAGATGTCCCTGCAGATCCTGCAGCCTTCCTCAGGCAAGGTGAACTTTCAGTTTTCTAGTCTTTGCTGGCAACTCATAGTCTGATAATATCTGTCCTATGGATTTTATATTTTTGCTTTACCTGAAAGATGAATATATTTACCTTTTCAAAGCCCCTTTCAAAGTCAGAATTTCTCAAACGCTGTCCTTTCCCCAAATCTCTATGGCACCATCCACCTTTTATGTCTGCACCAATCCCCAGGGCTATTTCTGACCCTGTTTTTAAATTCAGTTAGGAAAATGGACTAAATCAATACTTAGTGTTAAGTCTTTTCTTAACCCATGTATATAAATCTACTATAAAATTTTATATAGTATCCTATAATAGAACTATTACTATACTAAAAGCATTTTGATATAATTTAATTATAACTTGGTTTACTTAAAATAATAATTCCATATAATGCTAAAATGCAATTAGGTAATTTTTCCTTAAGTTTTAACTGAGTAATTTAAGTAAGAAGATATCTAAAACATATAATTAGAATTTTCAAGTTTATTAAATGGTGATGATTTATGTGATAGGTAGCAACCAGCTTTTGTTTAAACTTTAGTAATCTCAATTTTGTATTTAGAAAGTGGTTGATTCATTTTTAGATCACAAAAGGCTTAAAACATTTTTGAAATTTTATGATTCAGTAACCTGGCATCAAAGCGATATATTTATTGAGGTGCGGTCATTGAATACATTTTGACAAAGGGTTAGCAATGCATTAGGACACTGATTTTCTCAGCACCTGTTCACCCAGGGAAGGAGTAATGTGCACCTCAGTATTTATTACTGCTTTCCATTTTGCAGCATTTCCAGCAGTGTGCCTTCTCCTGGGATAGGGAGAGGACCTGTTAAGTGAGTGCCCATCTTTGCAATGGTGGTTCTCGTCAATATTCTGTCTTCCTTTTCATCTCCTTTGGAAGATGTCAGTTCTTTCTGGCACTGAAGGGGAATGACAATTAGTTTGCTTCTCGGCTATGATTACTATCTTTCTGCTTGTAAGGGAGTGTGTGTGATTTGCTTACACTTGAACTTCAGAAGGAATTGCAAACTGAATCCAGACCCTGGAAGATGATCTGTAGAGCTCTGATGAGGAGCTAGCCAAAGATGGGGCCCTGCATAGGAATGAACAAAAATGACTAGTATTTCAGAGAGAGACAGGGTGATCAAGAGGGAGAGGGAGACCTCAAGAAAACTCTTCTTTGAATTTTCATGTCTGGAGTTCTGGAACCACTTCATGTTCGAAAGGCATAGGATAAAGATTCTGAAAGGCTTCCTTCCAGAGAAGTGACATGATATAAACATTTCATTTACTGGAATTAAACACATAATATATGCCAGACTAAATCTGGCATAAATGAAAAACATTAAATTCTTTCCTCTTTTTAATCACCCTATGCAATTCTGCTTGTGTATCAAATAAAGACTGGTAGTACCTCATTTTCATAGTCACTGAATTCCTTTACTATGATGAATGTTTGCAATTAAACTCTATTTGCAAATTTTGTTAACAAGGTTACAGAAAATTACTTACATTTTTAATTGATTTTTTTAATTTTGCAGACTTGCAAAAATCTAGAATCATTGATTATGGTCAGTTGAATGCATTATGCCACTTGAGAAGAATACAACCCAGGTAGGTTATCATGCCTTCCTTTTCCTGTCGCTCAAATGAATATGAATATGTTTGTTCCATGGATAAAGTATAGTAATAAACCATTGTTGATTCTCAGAGGTACCTGATTTACCACACAGATAAAAATATCTGAAAACCTGGAGGTTATTTCTCCAGACTGAAGGGGCAGGCGATATATGTCATATTTTAAGGAAACAATTCAGTGTGAAGTGCGCATAACTCATCCCTAGCCAGACCCTTTCTAGTACTCAAAAAGCAGTCATAAGAGAAAAAAGCTTCAAATGGTTGAAAACACAAATCCTGAGTGAAATAAGCACTTTAGCGGTGCCTAGGAGATGCCTGGTTGAAATATATTAGACCCAAAGAACTATAGAATATTGGCTTAAACCTCAGGATACCTAAGATATGTGATACTTGAAGATACAATTTTTAAAAAATCTATTTTCTTGTCAACTCCTTTTCCCAAGTTGGATTTTTGAAATTATAAAGCTAGCTAGTTTCTTTCTTATCCATCAGTGTCTATCTATCCTCCTCCTACTTTTCTTCACCAGGAGAGGCCCTTGCCCATCTTAAGTCATATCCTCGTAACCACGTCAAATTATTCACATCTTCATTGAGCTCTTCACTCTTTCTTTCTTGGAGAAAGAGAGGAGGCTATGCTTTTTTAAAAAACTTTTTCCAAAGCTTACATTTTACTATGCCTTCCTGTCCCTTTTGTACACGTGGCACCTTTTACCATAGGGTAAAGAATTAAATAAACTCACTCTGGAGTCAGGCAAGTCGCCTGGTTTTAATCCTGGCTCAGCCACTTCCCAGCTGTGTGGCCTTGGACTAGTTACATAATTTCTTTTTACCTCAGTTTTCTCATTAGTAAAATGGAGATAATAGTCATATCCATTTCAAAGAATTATTAGGATGATCAAATGGGCTAATGTATATGTAAAGAGTAGCTGGTACATGGTAAGAGCTATATAAGTAATTTTATTATTGTTATTTAAAAAAGCTCACCCAGGCTTTTGACTACTGAATTTATATTCTACTCTCCCCCTACCCTTTATTTTTTCACATAGAAGATTTTATGTGAGGTTTTTGGAGCAGAACACTTCCTTTACCCTTATTTTCCTCTTGCTTTCTAGGCCAGGTATTTTATTTCAAAATTTATTTATAGATTCCACCTCCTTACCCTTGGGGAGTCATAATAAGAGAGGTTAAATCATCTAGATCTGGGTCCGCCAAAGAATCCATTCTACAAAAGTTTTACCAGCCTTCATCTTTCTGGATTGAGAATCCCTTCCAGGCAGGGTTGCCTCATCAGACAATCATCTGGTCCAGGTGCAGTCCGGTTGGCCTGCCCTACTTCCCTCTATTTAGTCTCAGATTTTCTGAGCCTTCTCTTGGACACTGCCTGTGTTTGCTCAGTCGCTCAGTCACATCTGACTCTTTGTGGCCTTTTGTACTGTAGCCCACTAGGCTCCTCTGACCATAAGATGTTTCAGGCAACAATACTGGAGTGGGTTGTCATTTCCTCCTCCAGGGGATCTTGCCAAGCCAAGGGTTGAACTGGCCTCTCCTGCAGATTCTTTACCTCTGAGTCATCAGGGAAGCCCCTCTCTTTCACACTAGCTCCCCCGAATTTCTTGGGTGTTTCCTGTTGCAAACACCAAGGGCCTGGAAAGGGGCACGTTTTAGGGGAGCTATATATAGGTCTTGGCTCATTCTTTTAGAAAACATTTTGCCGTTGCTGTTCAGTCACTCAGTTGTGTCTGACTCTCTCTGACCCCAGGGACTGCAGCACGGGGCTCCTTTGTCCTCCACTATCTCCCAGAGTCTGCTCAAATTCATGTCCACTGATTCGGTGGTGCTACCTCACCATTTCATCCTCTGCCACCCCCTTCTCCTCCTGCCTTCAGTCTTTCCCAGCATCAGGGTCTTTCCAGTGAGGTGGCTCTTCCCATCAGGTGGCCAAAGTATTGGAGATTCAGCCTCAGCTTCAGCTTCAGCTTCTGCAGCAGTCCTTCCAGGGTTGATTTCCTTTAGGATTGATTGGTTTGATCTCCTTGCAATCCAAAGGAGGGACTCTCAAGAGTCTTTTCCAAGGGAGGGACTGTCAAAAGTCTTCTCCAACACCACAATTTGAAAGCATCAATTCTTTGGTGTTCAGTCTTTATGGTTTAACTCTCACATCTGCACGTGACTACTGGAAAAATGATAGCTTTAGACTATACAGACCTTTGTCAGCAAAGTGATGTCTGCCTTTTAATACACTGTCTAGTTTTGTCATAGCTTTCCTTTCAAGGAGCAAGCGTCTCTTAATTTCATGGCTGCAGTCACCTTAACAAAATTAGATATGAAAATAGGTATTTAAAATGAGAAAATAAACTACAACAAATTAATGAAGACTTGGCATTCAGGTTGCTTTTCCTTCGTGAGATTTCTTGGCAATTTATCCAAAATGCATACATAGAAATTACTTAAGTCTTTCAGAGAGATTTAAGAAAAATTTGCTCTTCCATATTTATTTCATATGTATTATATGTTTAAAATGACCAATGAAATATACTTTCTCCCCATAATAAAAACAAAAAGCCTGAGAATTAAATGACCCATGGATTAATTTTTTTTTATACATGTAAACTATGAAAGATCTTGGTTTTTGGAGTCTCCTACTCTCTGGTCGCAGTGGAACAGTATAGCGGCTTCTCTGGTTTCAGAGCATGCGCTCGAGGGTGCATGGGCTTCGGTAGCTGTGGCTCCAGGCTCCAGGACATAAGCTCAAAAGTTGTGGTGCATGGGCTTAGCTGTTCTGCAGCCTGTGGGATCCTCCTGGATCAGGGTTCAGACTTTTGTCTCCTGCATTGGCAGGCAGATTCTTTACCACTGAGCCGCTAGGGAAGCTTAGGTCTTTCTTTTGATATTACACCAAATACTTATGCTATACCATACATATACATATATATCGTGGGTTGGCCAAAAGGTAGGTTGGTTTTTTCTGCAAGATGACTCTAGCAGTGCTTGTTTTTCTTAAACTACATTTGAAATAATTTTGTTAGATTGTAATGTGACAGCCATCATACTAGTGTGCATTTAAAAAAAGATATATCAACATTGGTGAATTTTTGTGTAGCCATTTTAATATTGAAGGTGGAAGGGAAAAATGTAACATTTTCAGCATATTATGCTTTATTATTTCAAGAAAAGTAAAAGCACAACTGAAACACAAATATTTGTACAGTGTATATAGAAGCCGCTGTGACTGATCGAATGTGTCAAAAGTGGTTTGCAAAGTTTCACATTGAAGATTTCTCGATGGACAATGATCCATGATTGGGGAGACAAGTTGAAGTTGATAGCGATCAAATCAAGACATTAATTGAGAATTAAGCATTGAAAATCAGTACCAGTTTGGTTATGTTAATCATTTTGATGTTTGAATTCCACATAAGTCAGGCGAAAAAAACCTTCTTGACCATATTTCCACATGAGCTTCCTTACTTAAACATAGCAAAAATGTTATGTTTTAAAAACAGATTGTGGTGGGCAATGAAAAGTGGATAATGGACAATAGTGTAGAATGGAAGAGATTGTGGGGTAAGTGAAATGAACCACCACCACCAATGCCAAAATCTGGTGTGCATCCAAAGCAGGTGATGTGTATTTGGTGGAACTGGAAAGGAGTCCTCTATTTATGAGGTCCCAAAAGCTTAATTCCCATAAGCACTGCTCCCAATGAAACCAACTGCAAGCAACATCTGATGAAAATCATCCGCAATTAGTCAGCAGAAAACGCACAAGCTTCCATCAGGAGAACATAAGCATGTTTCCTTAATGACCAGGCAAAAACTGTTGCAGTTTGGGTGGGAAGTTCTGATTCACTGCCTGGATTCATTAGACATTTCACCTTTGTATTCCATTTATTTTGGTCTTTACAAAATTCCCATAATGGAAAAGATATCAATTTCATGGAAGACTGTAAAAAGCACCTGCAACCATTCTTTGTTCAAAGAGGTAAAAAGTTTTGGGAAGATGGGATTATGAAGTTTCCTGGAAAATAGCAGATTGTATTGGAATAACACACTGATCACGGTATTTCAATGAAGTTCTTGGTGAAAATGAAAACTGTATGTTTTATTTAAATATCACAGGAATATTTTGGCCAACCCATTATAACACACACACACACATACATATGTGTAGTCACTGTTTTCAGGTAGCTGCCCTTCCTCCCAGGTCCTGCCTGTGGCCCAGCGTGGGAAGGGGAAAGAAAGACTGCTCCTCCTTCCCATTTACCATGTACCTTGACCCTGGGCTCAATTCCTGCTGCTAAAGCTGCTCCTGTCTACTCTTTAAGTGCATGTGAGTTCTTCTCATTCCTTCTCACCGAGAATCACACACACACACACACACACACACACATACACACAATAACACACTGATCACGGTATTTCAATGAAGTTCTTGGTGAAAATGAAAACTGTATGTTTTATTTAAATATCACAGGAATATTTTGGCCAACCCAATATAACACACACACACACGTACATATGTGTAGTCATTGTCTTCGGGTAGCTGCCCTTCCTCCCAGGTCCTGCCTGTGGCCCAGCGTGGGAAGGGGAAAGAAAGACTGCTCCTCCTTCCCGTTTACCATGTACCTTGACCCTGGGCTCAATTCCTGCTGCTAAAGCTGCTCCTGTCTACTGTTTAAGTGCATGTGAGTTCTTCTCATTCCTTCTCACCGAGAATCACACACACACACACACACAGAGGCATGCATATGTGCTCAGTCGCTTCATTTGTGGCTGACTCTGCGACTCCATGGACCATAAAAGCGCCAGGCTCCTCTGTCCATGGGATTTTCCAGGCAAGAATACCAGAGGAGGTTGCCATGCCTTCCTCCAGGGGGTCTTCCCAACCCAGGGATCAAACCTCATCTCCTGCATATCCTGCGTTGCACACACACACACACACACACATACACACACACGCATGCTTATGTGCTCAGT